TTTATCTGAAACAAAACAATTACAGCCAAAGTCATGAATATACACTCAGTGGCCGATTTATTAGGTACACTCACTCATTAATGTGAATAGTCTGCTCCATGGGTGTCATTAGGTCTGATCACTTGGGGCTATAGTCCCAAGTATTTTAACCCCGATGCCAAAAAAGTCAAGCCCAAGGTAAACTTGACTGATCTTTTCAGTAGCTAGAAACTCCCCTATTTTGCTCCTCCAAACAGTAAAACATGTGACTACATCTGAATATATACAGTATGCACTCAAAGTCTGGAGGTTCACTTACTGTGTAGCTAATCATTACAATGGGTAAGACACATGATCTACATTATTTTAAACGTGGTATGATTATTAGAGCCATATGTGTTGGTTTCTATATCACAGACACAGTCACCTTCCTGGGGATTTTCACACACTACAGTATCTAGAGCTTACAGACAATGGAGTGATGAACAAAAACATCCATTCAATGGGGAAAAATACCTTGTTAATGAGACAGATCAAAGATGTTTGGAGACTTGTTAAAGCTAACAGGAAGGCATTAAGTACAAAAATAACAGCTGAGAATAGCAGTGATGTGCTGAATGTGTTCTCCAAATGCAAACTAGTCAGCTCAGGGGAAGGGGGCTTTTACCCCATACTATGTAGAGGTACCTAATAAAGCGGCTGCTGAATGCTCAGATGGTCATTTGCTTGTAGTTGAAATTCCTGGCCACAGAGTACTTTTTCTTAAAGTTTTCTATTCCAAGCTTAAAAACCTTGAGTACAGAGTCCTCTAGTCTGATATGCCAGCACATGGACTTCAAAACGCTTTGATAAGCAAAACATGGTGACCTTTGGACTCTGCCTTTCTCTGACAAATTGTTATTCGTAGTTACAAAGAGGAAGGCAAGTTCTTATCTTTATTTATTCATTCATGAACTAGATTTCAATTTGTGAGCTTTTACATTTTTTGCCAGTCTTAAGCATGCTGATATTAAATGTGTCCACATTGTCTTCACATTAGGTTCAGTCCAGTTGAAGTGAATGATTTAATCACTTTTCATTAGGTTTTTTTTTATATTATCCACTCATCCATTTGTAATAAACAATTATTTTGATAATAATCGTATTCACAGAATTCCAGACTGCACTTTGGGATACATCCTAGAGGGGGAGCCATTGCACCCCAGGTAATTAATACTCAATGAGCAAAATTAAGGCTCTGTTTACACTTGGTTTTAACCTGTATATTGGGTGATTGGATCACAAGTAGACAGCTTAGACACATCACCATATGCACCTGTGTGTTCAGATTTTGTTACTGCCCCACACACAGTTGCTGTGACATCCCTGTGCATCAGGAAGCATTAGCATTTACACTGCAAAATATATGTGGTCAGATGCACCCCAGGTCACCTTGGCAAGTGGTTTAAGTGATCGGATCACAATACGTCTAGGTGGTCATTGTCATTTGCCTTTAGTGCTGTCCACTTGCAAACTGATCACCCAAGACATTTTAAAACCAAGTGTAAGCTGGGTCTTAGTCTGAATACTCCACCTCAATGAAATATCTGTAGTATGAGAGGAGATCAGAATGATGAGGTCTAGTGGATACAGAACCCACTACACACACAGGGGGTTGAGACCAGATTGTATAGAATATACTGTGAGATTATGGCAGGCAGAGTGAAGGCATAGGGTAACCTTTTCTTAAGCTTTTGCTTTTTCGTTTTGTTGCCATGGTGAGTGATCGCCAACCTTGGACAGACCGGTAACCCCATTAAAAACAGCCCAGCAGAGCTTTGTTAGGCCCATTGCCTTATTAGGGTAATTAATAAGGTCAAGTCGGGGGGGGTGGGGGGGGAATGTCTGGGGGGAAATGGGAACCTGCTTTCTCTGTGGAAGCATGTTTTGTGGTTTTGCTTGCTGTTCATAAAGATGCCTTGAACACAGTAATGTAGACACTGGGGGCGCTGAACCCCCCCCCCCCCCAATAAACAGACCCTTGTATTTAAATGATTAAGTTGTGCCCCCTCCCATATCAAACTCTTTTCTATGCCGTGGCTTGTTACGTCACAGCAAATCTGATTGATTTAAAAAATAATATTATAATAATATAATAAAGTCAATAATATAATGTATATTGTTAGATAATGTTATATAATGCTTTAATGTGGTGTGAGATTGTTTTTTTAGAGCATTGTGAATGTTTTGTTTGCTGCCTTAATTTGAAGCTTAATGATACCTAAAGTACCGTACATTCATCTATGAGTGCTTTGCTCTGTGTATGTGTGTGTATGTGGTCATGTATATATTACATTGTGGGGGCCAAATGTTTACTAATTGTTGGTAACCTCTGTGAAACAAATCAGTTATGGCATTTTTAAAGTATGTGTACGTATGTTTGTTTTACAGTTCGTTTGGTTCCGGTGAATAAATCATTCAGAATATACAGTGTTTTTGGATAATTTCATTACCACCCAAAGTCATAAAACAACAGTATAAACGTTAATGCATTTGGCTATTGAAAACGCTGCAATAATAATATTCCTTTAGAATTATGCTATAGTGAAAATTATTTGATGCTTTGTTTGGTTGTCACGGCTTTCCAATTTCATTGAAAAAGATTAATATTTCATAAATGTCTCCATAACTGTGTCGATACTGAGCTCTCGGGGCTACGATGGGGTTACGTTCCGATAAACCTATCATAAGGCAAAAATACTGTAAAATTAAAAGGCATTTTAATACAGTATACCTAAGCTAACAAACATCATAGCCTAGCCTAGCCTAGGCTAACCCTAACCCTAACCCTAACTTAAATATGCTTAGAACACTTACATTAGCCTACAGTTCAGCAAAATCATTAACACAAAGCCTATTTTATAATAAAGAGTTGAATATCTTATGAAATTTCTTGAATAACCATAACGCCAATCATAATCATAAAGTCAAAATATCCTAACATGGATCATTGTAACCCAGGGAGCGTTTGTATTGGCTTACACTAAGAATATGGTGTTAATGATGATGCTGTTTCCATTTAAACCTTGTCTTCCTCAGGTCCCTTTTGTCATATAACACACTCTAACTTGGGTGGTCACATGGCAAAGCAGCACAAACCCAGGCCAATCATTTACCTTTCAGTTTATTTTGCTGTGGGAGAGGATTTGATGCACAGGTAGAGATAGCTGGCGCCTTGGTGGGAATTCCCTTATACCTCATTAGTGATCAAACCGGGCAAGTATCATTCACCGCAGCAGTCGGTTCAAAAAGACCTTGTTTCAGGTGCTTGTTTATTTCTTCATTTAATAACTGCCTTTGGTACCCTAACCTTAACACATATAACACACAAAGGTCATTTCCAAAAAACACAATTAGTGTTTAGACCTTATCTCAATATTTCAGGTTTGGCAAAACTTTGTGTGTACAGAGTTATCTTGAATCCGTCATTGCAGGTGAAGGTGCCCATTTAAACCTTGTTTAAAAAAAGTCCTGATTCTTTGCATTCTTTTCTTTGGAGAATCTGTGCATTGATTCCAAAGGAAGAAGCAATTTCAGCTTGGTGGCATGTTCCTTGTAAAACTCAAGGGTGGGACCTTTGTTACTAGCCAACAGGGCTAATACAGTAAAAGTGAGCTAGCCACCGGACTGGTGTTCAGTTTATTGTACTCGTCCTTTGTCTAAATTCACTTTTAAAGTTATTTTTCATTTCCATAGTACACATTTTTCCCCAGGCCGCATTCATTTATCACAACTTGTGTAGTCGTACCTAATTGTACAGCTCAAACTAAAATATAACCCTATGCCATTCAGGATTCCTCCAAAAAATGTGTTTTAGTGACTATTTTAATTTGTAACTAACTTAGTTTAATATTTGCATAGAGTGAACACTAAGCAGTAAAAACAACAAAGGTTTTGTCATCAAAAATGACATGATTTCAAAATGGTAGTACAATTAGGTAACAGGACATCTTAAATGCTGTAGTGAATAGTATTCATTAATGGATTATTTTTTGTACTTTAGTGAGAAGAGATCTGCATCAGCTTAATGAAATTTGTTTACTGCCTGTTTCCTTTTGGCCTTAATGGACCAAAAAGGTAAATGTCTAAGTTGTATTTACAGTTTCTGCGAAGAGACTTAATACAAAACACCTTTCCACAAACATTCTACTGCAGCAAAGGGCAGACAAACTGACAGTGTTCGGTAATGAAAAGAAGAGTCTTAGGAGACCAAGTACTGAGGTTTTGAGCCAATGTAGAAATGGGGCTGGTAAATTGTGCCTTTCCAGAGGTTACTGCTCTGCATTATGCTAGATTTCACAACAGAATACTGCCAATTCTGTTACTAACTCCGGACTTAATGCACCCAAATTGCTGTAATTACTTTTTTTATCTGTACTTTAATGAAGAAGATTATTACCACTTAGAAACCCTATTATTTAAAAAGTCATTCCCGTCTACAGAAAGAAAGAAAAAAAGTAACAATTCAAAATGAGGTCATTTTAGTCTAACCAATTTATGTGTCTTCACAGATAAGTGTTATCAGAAAGGGCATCAGGTTTAATAATTGACTTTTTTGTTGTTAATTTTGAAATTCTAAAAAAAGTCCCTGTGACTTAAATGTCTGTAGAAAAGACAACTCAGGATATATCGATAAAATGATAAATTGGGAAATTTAAATGCTAATTATTTAATATGAATGGTCCATAAAACAATGTAAAGCAATTTATGACAAGCACACTTCTACAATTCACTAAACTACATAAATCAAATAAACCATTTGACTGATTGATTGCTTGATTAGTGGGTTGGTTGATTATTGATGTCACTGCAGGTACTGACTTGACACACACCAAACACCTATTCTTTAGAATATGGTTCAGGTCAGTAGTAGTCAATAATGCATTAGAAAACATGTTTTCTTTTTAATTTTAAATAAATCTGCTAAATCAGTCACTTTTTACTTAGAAAGTCTGGATACATTTTATGTTATAAATCCGTGGTTTCTCTCAAAAGTTTATTGCAATTGAACTAGACATTCAACTTATTATCCAGCATTTTTAGAAATACAAATATTTCAATATAAATAAGAAAATAAGAGATCCTGTTAAAACAAGTTGTTTCAAACTAATTTTTGGATAGTAACTTGTCTGAGATAAAAGTACTAGAACATTACAGGAACATATACAGACTTCTGAGAATAGCTGCGCATCAGGTGTAAATGCAACCTCTTTGTTAGATGATCTTCTGTATTTCAGAATAGTGCTGCCCCCTGCTGACACTTACAAACAGGCACGAAGCTACATCCGCATGTGAATGACTAAAAATGAGAAAACATGATGAACTAACAAACATAGAAACACAGAAAGAAAACTAAAGGAGATCACCACCCAACCTGGACAACAGCCTCTGCAGAACATCTCTGTTCCTTCTCAGATTTACAGATTTGCTTCATCTTCTATCTACAAGAAATGGTACGAAAACAGTGCCCTACTGTGGTGAAACAACTACCTGAAAAACATAACAGGGCTCATGGGAGATGCAGTCCAGAAGCTTGTTAAAAATACCCAAGAGCTAGATCAGGACTTCATCTCCCATCAGACATATGCAAATAGAATTTAGAAAACTGAATCATGTATAACTCTACACATTATCCATGGAGCACTAGGCCCTTCAGTTAACCCCAGAGGCATTGGAGGGCATGGATATCATGAGGATGCCTCATACTTCACAATGCTTGGCAGAATTTCTAGGTAAACCCCTGGTGGTACAAGTTAGTCATTTCTGATGTTAGAAAGATGGGATCTGAAGCTTGTTAAATGTTTCTTTGCTGACCACCCATTTACTCATTTTTTTTGGTAAATATCAGTGAAATCACCACCACCATATTTGATGTTACTATTCTCAGAGGATTTCAAATCACTCTAAACACATCTTTGATGGGCCAAATCATTAATGTTTTAATAGGAATTAGTGTTCTTCATTTGAAATTTTGGGTTAATTTTCTTTGTTTATACGAGATACATGGAGATTTCCTCCACTGAACTCACTGTTTCCGTTCAACATCCATTCACTTCTGAGTTCTGGGTTCCATATACTAGTCCAGGTAGTGTGCAAAGAGCAGAAATGGAGATTTTCTTGTACATTTAGCAAGAACTTTTTTCCCAGTTCATACTTAACATGGCAATTTTGAAAAGTTTAATTCAGCCCCATACATAAAACTTGGCATTCTCTATTTTATAAAATGGAAAGTTCAGAAAGGTATACGTGTTTAAAGGCAAATTAAACACGGAAATTAAAACATCACTATATATTCCAGCATGCATAACTGGTGCTGAAGAACTACATGCCAAACTGAATTATGAGTGTGCTTCTCTGAAGTGCAGCAGTAAACATACCGTTGTATCCACAGTTATAAAGAGTACATCTAATAAATGTAATAATTAATAATTCCAATTGTGAATAATTCAATTAGTACTTAAGGCCCATCCTTGATGCCATCCTTTTATACACTGTGGAGTCTCCACCTACAACATTAAGTGCAAACTTGCATCAAGAAATTCCCCCAAATTTTAACTGAAGTAAACCCCATAAAACACTATTAAAAGGTGCATTTACACAATCATAAAATATTTCGGAAAGTTTTGATTTAAAAAAAGAAGGATTTTCAAAACTATAGTATATAAAAAATATGAATAGTACAGCTCATTTAATAATTACAAAATTCATATTGTATTTTACAAGCAAGCAAAAAATATATGTAATAACCAAAGGCAGCAGCATGAAGATGTGTGTGTCCCATAATCATTCCCAGCGGATCAACCCTGGATTCTCTCAGCTACAGTCTAAGGCCGCATCCTTTCAGGAGCCAAGCGATTCCATCCAAAAGCCCTGACAGTGATTCTGCCACAGTGTCTTGGACCTGCAGTAAGACACACATTTAGTAACGGGACAGCTGACACGTTCCAATGCCATTTTGGCAATTTGCACCGGAGCATTTACATCAATAAAATACATTTACAAATGTTTTTAAAATGACATTTTCATTAAACATTATTAAAAATCATTTACATTTAGCTTGATAGCAGTGACAACTCGTTAATGTGGGGTGCTATACCCCCTCGAAATATCTAAAGAAGAAAGTATACTTAAACATGTTATACATAAATTAAATAATGCAAACTAATTATGAAACAGAATTTGTTTCTCGTACAATGCGCCTAATAATCTACCAGCATTCTTCCCGGGTGAAGGATACTGGCCAAATGAGTCTGTGCAAGTCCTTCAGCTTTTGGCATGCAGGTGACCTGAAGCTGCTCTCTAATTGTTTGTCTTTCAGATTTTCCACAGGGTGCAGCTCTCACACCTCAGACACTCCCACTGTTATTGACCACAGATTGAAATCGCCACTCCTGCTCATGGGCGGAGTTTGGCAGGGGATGTGCATGGCAGTTGTATGTTGTATGACAAAGATAGATACTTTATTGATAGATAGAGATAGATAGATACTTTATTGTCAGTCAGATAGATAGATAGATACTTTATTGTCAGTCAGATAGATAGATAGATACTTTATTGTCAGTCAGATAGATAGATAGATACTTTATTGTCAGTCAGATAGATAGATA